GTTGTCATGTTGGAAGGCGGGCGAGTCGTTCGACAAAAGAGAGGGGATAGTATATCAAGTGTGTGTGAGAGTGTGTGAGAGCGTGCGAGAGCGTGCGAAAGCGTGCGAGAGACAGCGACAAGTCGGGCAAGGCAACCTTGAATAGTGTGATGCCGTTCGGGAGAGCCGGAGATCGACGTGGCTGGGGGACGCCGTAGGGAGAGACCGGGCGGCGGAGGAACAATGCAAGCGCAAGAGTACAATCGCAGAGTTGTATTTCGGCCTGAGCTCGAGCAGTGGAAGCGTAGGGCGATCGTGGGGCGTGGGCGGCAATTGGTTCAAAGTGGTGATGGTGGCAGGCGGCAAGATGACGATGGGGAAACAGGTCCGACACAGAAACACTCGCACAGCGGGCATTAGTGGGCCTTGGCGGTTGTGGCAGCCTTTCGTCCTGTTTCGGATTAGTCTATTTGGCAGGCGTATTCGTGGTAAGATATTGCCCTGGTCGCACCTACCTTACCTGTTTTCATGGGCAACAGCGAAGTGTGGCGCAACAGTGGCTGTGCGCACGGCCCACTCTTAGCCAGGAGCTTGTAATTCGTACTTGGCTGCACCACAGCACCCACCTATCGGAGCCCCAGCCAACCAGCAACAGCAAAGCACATACGAAAGCTCAAAGCTGCCTGCTTTCGCACCTACAGCCAGTAGCACTACAATCGACTGAATTCCCATCAACACCAAACCATCGCGACGACATTCTGCCTTCCACGCCCCGCCATTTTTGACATCACTCTTTGTGAATTCGCATTTACGGACACGTCGACGCTCGACTAGCTTCGCATTGTCATAGAACCGCTCCCATTAACCGCCGCCTTGACTCGAGGCCGTTCTTATTTGACCCCGACACACGTCCCTCCTCTCATCTCTGCTCTCCCTCGCCGCCACCATGTTCAGAAACAACTACGACAACGACTCGGTCACATTGTGCGTCTACGACTGATGCAATACCTTTGCACCTCCCAACCGCCCCCCATAGTCCACCGACACCTGCTGACACTGACACTGTATAGCTCCCCACAAGGCCGGATATTCCAAGTCGAGTATGCCGCCGAGGCCGTCAAGCAGGGCTCCGTCGTGGTGGGCATTGTCAGCAAGACGCACGCCGTCCTGGTCGCCGTCAAGCGCAATGCCGAGGAGCTGTCGTCGTACCAGAAGAAGCTGTTCCCCGTCGACGAGCACGCCGGCATCGCCATTGCCGGCCTGACGTCGGATGCCCGCGTCCTCTCCAACTTTATGAAGCAGCAGTGTCTCGGCCACCGCCTGACGTACGGGACCTCCATGCCGGTGCGGACGCTCGTCGACATGATTGCCGAAAAGGCCCAGCTCAACACCCAGCACTACGGCCGCCGGCCCTATGGCGTGGGCCTGCTGGTGGCCGGCGTCGACGACCGCGGGCCGCACCTCTTTGAGTTCCAGCCCAGCGGCATGACCGACGAGATGGTGGCGTTTGCGATTGGCGCGCGCTCTCAAATGGCCCGCACGTACCTCGAGAAGAACATTGCCGCCTTCGCCGACAGCGGCCGCGAGGCGCTCGTGCAGCACGGCCTGCGCGCGCTCAAGGAGAGCCTGGTGCAGGACCGCGAGCTGACGGTCGACAACACGAGCGTGGGTATTGTCGGCTTTGTGCCGGCCGCTGCCTCGGCCACGGGCGCGCGCGAGGTGGAGCCGTTCACGGTGTACGACGGCCAGGACGTCAAGGCGTGGCTCGACGCGGCGGCAGACGACAAGGCAGAAGGCGACGACGCGCCCGCACCAAGCGGCGGGGCCGAAGGCGAGATGGAGGTGGACCAGTAGGGCAATACCGTCGCTCGCCCGGTCGGCGAGATTTGTGGAATACACTAAAGCGGAGGCGTCGATGCGGCATCGACAGAGTGAGAACGAGCGAGAGGGAGCAGCGTGTGGACGATTCTCCTTTGACACACAAGCCACTTGTACTACTACAAACATACGACGCGCAAACGTTCCCATGAATGTGCCATACACGTGCTACGCAACAGCTAACCGTGTCACAAAAAGACCTATATGACCTATATTACCTATATTTAATGTGTTGAAACTAGGGAGACAATAACGTCCAACACACGGTGTAAACCAAATAAAGACGCCGTTCAAAGTCGACATAGGAAGAAGCGCTATTCAAGCATGCATAAATTCGTGAGGGCGGCAAGAGACACCAGAGAGACAGGAGAGACACACATGGCCGCCGTCTACTGCTTGTCCCACGACAGCTTCAGCACGGATGGCGCGACTTTGTAGTCCCGCAGCGCCAGGATGGCGTCCTCGGCCGTCTTGGCCTCGGCGATGATGCCCGAGTTGCCCTCCGAGATAAAGCCCTCGTCGACGCTCGTGCGGATCCACGCAAAGAGCCCGTCGTAGAACCCGTTGATGTTCAGCACGCACACGCCCTTGTTGTGGATGCCCAGCTGGTTCCACGTCGACGTCTCCAGCAGCTCCTCAAACGTGCCGTAGCCGCCGCTCAGCGCAATGAAGCCGCTGCCGGGACCGGCCTGCAGCACCTCCTGGGCCATGATGCGCTTGCGCGTGTGCATGTCCTTGACCACGGTCGTCTTGCCAAAGACCTCCTCGGCGGGAATGGCCAGGCCGTCGGTGCCGTCGGTGCCGTCGGCGGCCTTGGTCTCGGCCGCGCCATTGGCCTCGCTATTGGGCTCGCCGTTGGTGCTGTCGACGAGCTGCCGTGTGTCGCCGCCTTCTGCCTTGGCCTGGGCGGCGGCGGCGCGTGTGCGGGATGTGTAGTTGGGGTCCCGCTCGTACCGGACGAGAGCCTCAGGGATGATGCCGTGAACCGAGTCGGGGCCGGCCAGTGCGACCAGGGACCGGGCCAGCTCGCCCATCAGGCCGACCGTGCCGCCGCCGTATACTGAACGTCCGAAAGTTAGTGGGCCGGCTTCAAGTGCAAGAGACGGTCTTGGGAAAGTCACGACCTACCTAGGCCAATGTTGTTCTCGGCCATGACCCGAGCCAAGTCCCGCGCCGCCTGCATGTACACCGGGTTCTTGCCTGGGGACGAGCCACAGTACACGCAGATCTTGGTCTTCTTGGGGAGCGAAGGGTCGGCTACGTCGTCCACCGAAGTGACCTGTGACAGGTTCGAGTGCACAGTGGACGTTGCCGTCGGCGTCGACGTTCTGGACGCCGACGGCATGGGAGAGGCACCTCCGGACTCCATGGCGGGCGACATCTGTCAATTGGTGGTAAGGGATAGGGGGAAGCGAAGAGGGGTGGAGAGGGGGGTGGAATAGGAATGCTGTTGTCGATGCTGTCAACGTGGGCGCGAGAGAAGAGGAGAATAAAGGGTGACAATCTCTATAATGTAAAGAAAATAACGCAAAGAAAAATAATACGAGCCGAAAGGAGCAAATATCAATTCCAGGCAGGAGCAGAAACAGTGCCAAACACAAGACGGAAGGAGCTGATGGCTGGTGTTATAAATGGCAAAGGTACAGAAGCTCGTTGATGCACTGGCTCACCAAGCAAAAGGCCGATCGTAAGCGGGAGCCAATCACAGAGCCACGCGAGACGGTCCTCAGGTGCATTGGGGGGAAGGTCCAAGACAGGGCGATGACGGCGCCACGGCAGGAACGGCGACTGACTCAAATGACTCGAATTGGGGCACTCTGCGCCGAAAACAGCAAGAGCGGGTGGGGCGGGCGATTCGCTGGCATTGACGTGCCATAAAGGTATTTCTGAGAATTGTTCGAGATATCTTCACTTTCAGAGATGGAGAAAGCCAGCAACGGACTGTACATCAGGTGTTTACTGCTGGCAATGATCTTGCCATTTGTTGTAGCCGTTACGGTAAAGAATGCTGGATGGCTGTTATGACCAAAATGCGAAAAGTGCTCGTTGTGACGCCGCGTTGACTGAGTCACCAATTCGTATCTGTTTATCTTCTCACTTTGTCTTTATGGCCTCGTATCTCCCCATGGCCAACGCTTCAGCTGTCGGTTAGGGCAGCCACACAGCCAGGAGCACGTATACGGTGCGCAAGTGCGTATATGCGCTGGCAGGCGGAGACATGCGCTCGTGACCTCGACAGCCCCAAACGGCGTCCGCACTGCACGCACGGAAGGGACAGCTAATGCTCGGTGATCCGCCAAACAGGGCTGGCTTCCGTCGAGCAGCATCCGACACCCATTGTCCAGAAACAGCGATGCAGATGAGATGCAAGGGCATAAATACCCACTCCATCGATCCTTGCTCGATGCCAAGGTGGTGTTGACCAGCGCGTCTCCGGCTCACTATGCACGCTACTCAGTACCGTGTAGACGAGCACGCGACCTGGCATCGGGTCGCACAAACCCTGCTTGCTGGTGTAGGTATGTTGTACACAAACACAACATGAAACCGTATGTCGTGATAGTCGCTGTCAGTCGCTGTCAGTTGCTGCCACTCTTGGCCTGTAAGTGCGCTGCAAGGGCCTGAGCTTCAGCGCATATGCATCTTTACGTAATGCTGGTCGTGCACCCAGAGAGGGTCGTTGCTTCCCGCCGTGCGCCCAGCCGCAGCGTTGATTCGCCACCGAAGCTTCCAATTTAGGCAAGCACACCCACGCAACAGGCCTAGACGGAAATCGTCATTGAGGCCACGCTGCGCAGGAAAGACGGTTCGACGGCAAGCACGACGCGCTAGCAGACCCCATCCATAGCGTTCCCATTGCGCGATAGCACCCAAGACGGCAATTTGCACCAAGCACGCTGCTTCGCCCATTCCAATCCCCGTTCTCACAGATTGGCTTCCACTCTCCGTTCGCAACGAGCAACGTGCAACCGTGCTACATCTGACCTTTGCGGAGCGCAACACTAGCAGGCCGTTCCTTCGACGTAGCTTGTGTGTCTTGTGTGTCTTGCGTGTCCAGTCGTCGAGAGTCGACGCTCTGCCCCTGACCTCCAAGTCGCCGGACTTTTTGATTCTTCGACGCTTCGACGTTTCGACACATCGCCATGCCGGAGGGAAACGCAGCGGCCGCCGCCGGCCAGGAGGAGCCGCAAGGTGTACGTTGTCAACGGCTTGTCTCGGGGTCTGTGGTTTGTTCGAGGCGTATGCTAACCCCCCTGTTGTCCCTCCCCAGCAGACCTCCATGATGTCACGCATGCTGCAGATGGGCGCCATGTACTTTGGCATGCAGCTGCTCATGAAGCAGTTCCTGCCCAAGCAAGACGCTGCCACCACGACCGCGACCACCACGGACGCCAGCGGCAACGTGGTCAAGGTGCCCGTGTCGACGGGGGCCATCCCCGCCTACCACGCGCGCCCAGACCGTCTCGACGAGGGCGCTACGTACAACCCGACGCCGCAGCGTCTGGCCGCCATCTGGCCCGAGGACAGCAAGCTCGACATTGTCATTGCCGTGTCGCCAACGCACCAGGCGCGGCCGCTCAACGCCGCCGACTCGGACCCCGTTGTGCTGTCGGAAAAGGCGTTTGGCCTCGGCGACTTCAAGGACAAGCGCTCCATCGACACGACGATCCAAGTGCCCAAGCAGGTGCAGAACAACGGCACGCTTTGGGGCCACTTCTTCATCGGCCTCGCGGGCGCCGAGCTCGACCCGTACAGCCCCAGCTACGACCGCGCGGCCGCCTACTGCTTTGCGTTCCCGCTGACGCAGTACATTGTCAAGAAGAAGGCGTTCAAGACGCGCAACCTGCTGGCCGGCAAGGACGGCGCGGGCGCCGAGGCCGGCGAGGTCGAGGCGGAGGTCGAGGAGGACACCGCGCCCGGCCCCATCGTTGCCAGCTACTACCACCCCAACACGTCGCTCTCGTTCGTCCCGTCCAGCGGCATCATCGACTACCCCAACACGGCGCCGGCGATCCAGCAGTTTGTGCACCCCGAGGCCACGGGCGCGCGCGACGGCTCGGGGCAGAACTCGTGGTACTACCCCGTACTCTTTGTCAACACGTTCTGGCAGCTCAAGACGCACATGACGCTGCTGAACGACACGGTGACCACGCTGCCCATGCACCTGGACCTCGGCAACCTCAACGACTGGCAGTTCAAGCTCATGGCCAGCATCGAGATGAGCGGCCGCGAGTCGGCGCGCCAGGCCGCGTGGGGCAACCAGCTGCCCGGCGGCGGCGACGGCACCGAGATTGAGATGGTCAAGGAGATTGTGCTGGACACGAACCCGTACCTGCTGGCCGTGACGGTCATCGTGACGGTGGCGCACCTGATCCTCGAGATGCTGGCCTTTGGCTCGGACATCTCGCACTACCGCAAGAAGAAGGACAACGTCGGCATCTCGGTGCGCTCGATCCTGGCCAACGTGTTTATGCAGACGGTCATCTTCCTGTACCTCATTGACAACTCGCAAAACACGTCGTGGATGATTCTGGGCTCGCAGGGCGTTGGCATTGTGATTGAGCTGTGGAAGATTACGACGGTCGTCGACGTGCGCGTGCGCGACGCGCCGCCGGGCTCGCTGCTGCCGTACCGCATCGCCTTTGAGGACAAGCACAAGCTCACGGAGACCGAGGAGAAGACCAAGGAGTACGACGAGATCGCCTTCAAGTACATGTACGTGGCGGCCGTGCCGCTGCTGCTGGCCTACGCCGTCTACTCGCTCGTCTACGACACCCACAAGTCGTGGTACAGCTACGTGATTGCGACGCTCGTCGGCTCCGTCTACGCCTACGGCTTCTTGATGATGGTCCCGTCGCTCTACATCAACTACCGCCTGAAGAGCGTCGCCCACATGCCCGGCAAGGCCATGATGTACAAGTTTGTCAACACCTTCATTGACGACCTCTTTGCCTTCACCATCAAGATGCCCTTCCTGCACCGCCTGGCCACCTTCCGCGACGACATCATCTTCTTCATCTACCTCTACCAGCGCTGGGCCTACCGCGTCGACTACACGCGCGTCAACGAGTTTGGCCAGGGCGGCGACGACGGGGACGCGGCCGAGGCCGAGACCACGACGACGGCTCCGCAGCCCAAGCTGGTGACAGCCGCTGACAAGAAGACGGGGACGGAGACGGCGGCCCTCCCTGCAGCCGAGGCGTCTGCAAAGACGTCCGGCACGGATGCCAAGGCTGGCAGTGCCACGAAGAAGCGGAAATAAAGTCGACTCTGGGGAAAGAAGGAAGGGGGGAGACTGGCCAGGACGGAGGATGGAAGAACACGACCGGGGTTGCAAATAGAAGGAAGGGAACGTTCTAATGCGGTGGACATGACAAATTCCGTGCATCGTTCGGTTTTGTCTCATTTGCGCACTTTCCTACCTGACTCTACTCTTTGTCGATACAGACATGCATAACAGTTAGAACCAGGGTCACTCGAAGATTTGTAGGATACGTACGAAACGACTTGATAGACCATTGGCCACGTACAAAGGCCTCGCCATATACAGGAACAAAGGTCATAGACGAGAGAAGGCGTAGTCTAAGCGCCGCAGGGTAGACAGTCTCATAATAACAGGCATACAGCTGGAATAAAGACTGAGTATCTTACAGCTTTAGATATGGGCCCAAAAGAGGCCAGGATGCAACCCAAAGACCCTCGGGTCCCTGTATTCGCGGCCCTTTAGCGCCAAAGGCCCTAACCGCAGCCTTCGCCACTAAAACCGCAGGTGTGGTGTCTGCCCCACGGCTCAAGGCTGGTCACACAGTGGCGCCTTTCGGGGCAGTTGGCGCCTGGTCATCACCGCCTAATGCGCCTTCCCAGTGCTGAATACTACGGACGTTAGCGCTGAGGGTATTAGTGTGGCTCGAGTGGGCTGCGGTTTCCCGTTGGTAGTTACACCGCTGGGTCATGCTTTCCCGCCTGGGACGCGTTGCTGCGTCGCAGTTGCCGCCCATGATGTAGGACGCGGTTGCCTTCGTAGCGATACGATGATACAGTGGCCTGTCCTGGTGGTGGCCAACTTCGCTTTCCTCTTTTCCTCTTTTCCTCGTCACCTTTTGCTTCTGCATCTAAAAAGGATCATCACAAAAACCGCCCCTTTCAGCAATACGTGGCCCACGAGGCAGCCTTGCCGTCCCTGTCCATCTCTTTCACCTGGCGTTTTGTGCCGTTTTCGTCTTGTGCAACCAGTCCCTTGCTTCTATATATTCACTTCGGCTGGCCTTCCATCTGCTTTCATCGCCCACCTCGTTAGACGTTTCCAGCATTGTCTTTCAGATACCCAAAACTCTCAGACTTTTATTAGACTCATCAAAGACCCCAGACTCTTAAACGTTTATTAGACCCGTACCAGCGTTTCTCGTTTTATCGACAACATCCCCTCGAACGGAGCTCTTCTCGACCTCTGACATCCCGTGTCTCACATCCGAAGACCTCGACCATGTCTCTCTAACTTTGCGAGAATCACCATAAAACACATCGAAATATACAGTCTGGCCCGAGACACCGGACTCGTCCCGCCACTTTTCAACCCGTCCTGGCCGCCATGGACTACACAAAGCTGCGGGCCGCCGCCCTCCGCGACGGCGAGGACGAGGAAGCCGTCACCGTCGACACGCGCGCCCTCATCGACAAGGTGCTGGCCCGCTACTCGGGCGAGTGGACGACGCTGCGTGAGCTGATCCAAAACGCTGCCGACGCCCAGGCCACGACCGTCAAGATCAAGTGGGAGACCACGCCCTCCACGTCTGTGCCGCTGCCGCTGCATGCGGGCGCCGCGAGCAACCCGAATGCCCTGCTGCGCCATACCGTCCTGCATCATACGTTGCGGCGGCTGCTCGTCGAGAACGACGGCCAGGCATTTACAAAGACCGACTGGGCCCGCCTGAAGCGCATCGCCGAGGGCAACCCGGACGAGACCAAGATCGGTGCGTTTGGCGTGGGCTTCTACAGCGTCTTTGCCGACTGCGAGGAGCCCTTCGTCCGCTCCGGCCGCGAGGCCATGGCCTTCTACTGGAAAGGCAACGCCCTCTTCACACGCAAGATGGCCGTGCCAGACGACGCCGTCGCGCCCGACCAGGCCGGCAAGACCACCTTTGTGCTCGACTACCGCAACGCCACCACGGCGCTGCCCAATCTGCTGTCCGTCAGCCAGTTCCTCGCCACCTCTCTGACCTTTGTCGCCCTCCAGCGCATTGAGTTCTGGGTCGACGACTGGAAGATTCTGGATCTGCACAAGAAGCTGTCACCAAGCGTCGCCGTGTCCATCCCGCGCAACCTCGATGTACGCACCAAGGAAGGCCTGATGACCGTGGCCGGTGTCGACCGCTCCAGCGCCCAGATCGATGCTCAATACATGCACGCCGTAGCCTGGAAGCCGTCCACCGCTGCGACCGGCTCGGCGTCTGCTTCTGGTTCCACGTCGGGCGGCAGCAACCAGCCCGGCAGCAGCAAATCAACCGACACCTACGGCATGTCTGCGGGCGACATGCCGTCCCTCCGCAGCTTCTTCTCGCGGCTGACGGGCTCGTCGTCCTCGTCTTCCGCTCAGAAGGAGGCTCGCAACAAGGCCGCGCGCGAGGAAAAAGTCGCCCAGGATGCCCTGCTGGAAAACCTCACCGGCACAGGCCGCGCCAGCATCTTCTTGCGTGTCACGTCGGCATCGGTCAAGACCAACGTGTCTGCCAACTTCGCTACAGAGCTGGAGCGCGCCACAAAGAAGCCCCCACCCAAGACAACCAAGATGGCCATTCTGACGTCAACCTACGACGATGTCTTGGCGTCTGAGGAAGCCATCAAGGCCGTGGGCGCGATGACGACAGCGTCAGCAGCAGCAGCAGCAGCTTCTTCGTCTGCTTCAGCGGCAGCTACAGCTACGACGGCTCCGGCGACGGCGAAGCCAGCAAGGTTGTCACACAAAAAGACGCCGTCAACCGCCGGTGCTCTGCCGCCTCCGCCAGACTATACGCCGGCCATTCCCCCCGCAGACATCTTTGCCTCAGTCCTGCCGAGCAAGAAGCCGGGCGGCCGCATTTTCATTGGTTTCCCGACCATGCAGACGACCGGTGGCGGCATGCACGTCTCGGCCCCGTCGCTGATCCCGACCGTGGAGCGCGAGGCCATTGACCTCAACGCCCGCTGGGTGCGCAACTGGAACATGGAGCTGCTCCGCGTGTCCGGCATTCTGGTGCGTCTGGCGTTCATCAACGAGATGGCGGACCTCGCCGTCAAGTTCCGCCAGTTTGTCGAGGCCAACCGCGCTGCCAATGCGGCCCCTGGTACCGTGGCTGTAAACAGCAGCGTCGTGCCTGTGCCCACGGCCGAAGAGGTCGCCCGATTTGTCCCCGAGGCCCTGCACGTGCTCAAGACGTACACCTTTAGTGACTCGACCCCGAGCGCCTATGTCGGCCAGATCATCGAGGAAGCCTTCTGGACGGCCTATGCGCTCCCGTCCCTGGACGTCTTCTCCAGCCGCGGCGTCCTTTCCACGGCCAAGGTGCGCATGAGCAACGTCGAGCTGAGCAGTTTTGTGGACGGCATCCCCGTCGTCGTGGAGCAGATGAAAGACGACCCGTTCATCAAGAAACTACATGACTTTGGCATCATCCAGGACGCCACGATGGACGACGTCAAGGCCGAGCTCGAGTCCAAACCACTGAACCGTGACCAGCTCGTGCACTTCCTCAAATGGACCAGCACGCAAACCAGGAAGGGCGAGCTGAGCTTTATAGACATGCAGAAGCTGTTGACCGCGGCGGTTGCGAATGTCGTCGATGAGACAACCGGCAGCTCGGCTCTCCTCGAGCTGCACAGAATCAAGCACTTTCTGGTTGGCAACAAGATCCCGGCCAATCTGCCCATCCCACCCAACACCCTTCCACTCTCCATCACCAACTCCATCCCAACGCCGCAGCTGCAGGCGCTGGGCTGGAGTGCGCTGGACATCTTGCCGTGGGTGGAATACCTCGTGGCGTCCCGGGTGCAGCTCGGCGCAGAGTGCAACCTGACGGTTGATCCCAACTTTGCCGCACAGGTTCTTCTTGTCGTCTCCAAGAACTGGGACAACACCAGCTTGTCAAGCAAGTCGAGCATAGTATCCCTGCTCCAGGAACACACCACAATGCCCACGCGCACGGGCATGAGGAAACCCGAAGAGGCCTTCTTCCCGTCCGTCAAACTGTTTGATGATCTGCCTGTTGTGGCACCCAACTGCCAGCATCTCAAGGACAAGTTCTTGCAGCAGCTGGGCGTTCGCAAGACCATCGATCTCGACACCATCTTCACGCGCCTGCTCAGCCAGCCGACCCCCTCCGTGCCCAGCACCGCCGGCACGTCTACTGCTGGTGCCGCTGGCACGTCGGAAAAGGCCGCTCTCGCTGCCCCAGCCAGGAAGAATTGGAGCCATGTCGAGCTGATCAAGTACCTCGCGTCCGTCCGCGGCGACATCCCCAGCAACGACATTAATAAACTGCGCAAGACGGCATTTCTCCCGGCTGAGGCCGGCACAGATGGTCCAGGGTCGCAGTTGTCTGGTGCCACGCTGTACCGGCCCGACCAATTGTACGAGCCGTCGGCCGCCGTACGCGAGCTAGGTTTTCCCATCGTGCAGTGGCCCGATCAGCCCGGCAACTACTACCGCAAGTCCAGCGCCGAGGCCCAGTTCTTGACCGCACTGGGCCTGCGCCACCATCCAAATGCCAGCAACCTGGTTGAAAAAATGGCATCGCCCAGCCAGTCCCTGCGCGACAAGGCGCGCGCTTACTTTATTGAACACCACCAGACACACGGCTACGGAACGTACAATGTTCGCGGTACGAACATGGCCATCATGCCCATCCAGGTCAGCGGCGGCGGCAGCAGCGAGAAACAGCCACAGGAAGTGCTTGTGGCGCCCTCGGCTTGCTACCAGAACGCCGACGCCGCCGTCCTCGGTTTCCCCATTCTACGCAAGGACTTGCAGCCACACGCCGCCAAATTCGGTGTTTACCTCAATCCGCCCATGGACGAGTGCGTCAAGCGGCTCCTGGCCAAGCCGCCGCGGTCAAAGGAAGATGCTGCCGTCGTCTTCAAGTACTTTGCGACCCGCCTTGCCGACCTGTCGGGCAACAGCCTCCAAATGCTGAAGAAGGGCGCTTTTGTACCCGTCGTTCGCAAGTCGAGCGTGACGGCGTCGTCGGCCCCCGTTCCGAACGCCAACGGATACCCAGACGAAAAGAAGAC